TGAATAAGGAAACAAGCTTTCTAGAGCAGACTATAACACAAAGCATAAAACCAACTGCTAGAACCTGAACACCAAGTCTTGCTCAGGAGGTTAAAGTGTATTTAAAAAAAAAAAAAAGGAAAAAAAAAAGAATTGGTATACCACTTCTACTTGTGGAACCTTAGAAATTTAATCTGTATCTTAATTTCCTCATGAGTCACACTGAGAAAAAAAAAAAGTATAGTCCCTTTACACCATCACTTTGCTAATCATATGCCAGGAACCTATTCAGGAGGCAGACCAGTGGAATTCCAGTTAGAACCCTAAAAGGGAAGATGACTGTTCTGATTATAAATGTCACTTTTTACCATGGAGATTAGTCAAAAGTCATAGAAGTCACTTAAATTAGAGTGCATAATCTTCAATAAGCACCTTCAACAAGGAAGAAAACACAACTAAAGCAAAGGAAATGATCCATCCAGGAATGCAGATTCAAAGACACAGGAACACAGGAAATGATTACAACTGAAATGGCACAATCCTTTAAGAATAAAGTCAAGAAAGTTAATTCATGGTCAAAGTTAGAGTACCTTACTCGTCTTTACATTCCCCAGCTAATACAATGCTTGATATATGATAGGTATAAAATAAACATTGTTTGAATTTAATTCCTTAGTCAACAGTATTGGCTTAATAAATACCACAGAAAAAATAGTAACTCTCACTCCAGTGGTCTTTCTTGTCTCTGTCAAGTTAATCAAAGCCTCAAGTCAATGAAAAATCACACAACAGAGCTTGGCACTCTATATTAAAGTGCTGGCCAGAGACCTTATCTGTAAGATTTCTCCACAACTATCAGTAAATGAGGAGCAGCTCTGAAAAAAAGAGCAGTGGTAAAACACCAACGCACAGCAAATGTCACTTTAAAAAACAAAACAAAACTGAATTCCAGAAATGTAAATTCTAGTCAAAACTCTATAATGGATATATACATGGCAGTACTAAGGGTTGTATCTCAGGGCCTCACTCATACCTGAAGCACACTCCACCATTTGAACTATACACCAACCCTTTTGTTTTTGAGAGGAGGTCTCACTTCCTAAATGCATCTTTTTTTTGTTCGTTTGTTTTGGACAGAGTTTCTCTATGTAGCCTAGGCTGGCCTCAAAATCATGATCTTCCTGCCTCAGCTTCCAGAATGCTGGGATTACAGATGTGAACTACCACTCCTAGTCCAAAAAAAAAAACCAACTCACAAATAGTTTGCAAGACCCTGTCTTCGAAAAATTCTAAACAAAAATAGGACTGGTGGAGTGGCTCAAGGTGAAGGCCCTAAATTCAAGCCCCAGTACCGCAAAAAAAAAAAAAAAATTACTGGAATAACTTCAAATTTCACTAAATGATTTATGTCTGTAAAGGTTAATCTTAAACTGTTTTCTGCTTCCATTCCATTAATAACTGTTTCTCACTCAAAGGGAAAAAGGAGGGGTTGCTCTGTGGCCACGCATAGCCTGAAAAAGTTCCACCCTAGGATTCTGAATGTATAAAGAAAACATCATTTCTAAACTTGCATCACTGGACTACAGTGAGGATTGCTACAGAGCTTTGTATTTGACCCTCTCTTCTTTCTTTCAAAGTATTAACGACCAGATGAGAATACTGAATGCATTCTTTCCAAATCTTCAGGTGACAAATTTAAAAAGTAGCTAATCCAGATAATAGGTTCTACATCTTATTCTTTGCATATCCACAACTCAACCCAGTTTCTGGCCCACAGAAACCCAATCAGTATTTCATGAATTACAGATTCAACATTTAAAAGGACATTAACAACTGAAACATATCAAAGCCAACTTTAACAGGTCAAGTATATTGGGGACAAAAAATGCTCAACTACCAAAGTCAAAGAAAAGAGAATGTGAAGGCTATAATGCTTTTTTTAAATAATCAGAAGATATTTTAATTGACAGCAAAACCCAACATTAATCAATGTGACAGCTACCTCAAAAGATCACAGAATCTTTTCTACTTTCATGTTTGAAAAGGATTCTCAATAGGGGAAGTGACAGCCTGCACTTCTCTGCCTAGTTAAAATCATAATCACTTCTGCAGCTCAAGGCATCCCACTTTAAGAAAAGAACCTCATGAGCCAGGCACAGTGGTGCATTTCTGTAACCCCAGTTATGCAGGAAGCTGAGGAAAAAGGATTTTGAGCATGAGGCCAGCCCAAGGAACACAGTAAGACCCATCTCAAAAAAAAAAAAAAAAAGACAATGATTAAATAGTGTCTAGATATCAAATAGTGAAAGGATTTAAAATAATGTCACTGCAGACACAGTTAAAGAAACTAGAGCTGTTTACCCAAGAGAAGACAAGACTCAAGGGATGTGATAGCAATCTTCAACTATCACAAGGGATGTCATATGAGACCAAGATTCAGAGGGCAGAACTAGGACTGAAAACTATAGGAAAAATGATTTTGGCTTTACACACAAAAAAATTTGTTGGAAATCACACCTGTCTAAAACTGAAATGGGGCCAGGTGCAGGTGGCTTGTGCCTATAATCCTAGCTACTCTGGAGGCAGAGATCAGGAAGCCAGATGGGGCAAATAGGACTGGTGGAGTGGTTCAAGGTGTAGGCCCTGAGTTCAAACTCCAGTACTGCAAAAATAAACAAACAAATAAGTAAATAAAATGGACCACTTCAGTATGCGGTTTAATAACTAATAATTGTAATATCAATTAGTTCATTTTACCGCAAAGATTTTTTTTTTTTTTTTTGCAGTGCAGAGGATCAAACCTAGGGCCTCACACATGCTAGGCAAGGGCAAGATGTTTAAAAAAAAGTGGACAATCACTTGACTGGAATATTCAAAAAGAGGGAAAACAGTGAAGAAAAACTATCTGTGGTTCCTGTAGGTCCTACAATGTTTTGAAATATGATGTATGAATCTGTACTTAGAAATATGCAAAGTATTACAAAGACAGTTTGTTGGCAAGAAAAAAGTGAACTCTTCTCATCGTATTTTCTTTTCTTTTTTCTCTATTTTTGCAGCATGGAGTTTGAACTCAGAGCCTTGAGCTGAAGGGCTCAGCTACTTGAGGAATGCCCTAGTCCCTCTTATATTTTCTGATGCACAATGCCCTCATTTTTGGAAATTAAAAGCACACACTGTTGTTGTCTTTTAGGTCACCACACAAATCAAACTTCTCTGAAAAAAAAAATGCTAAGAAAGAAGCATTTCTTTCTAGGAGAAAGAGATTAGTGTTATTTCCATACGTTGGTATACAACAACATCTTCAATTCTGTAATATAATCCATATACTGTTTATGATAAGTTTTATGGATATAAAAATCAGGACTGCTATGCTTTTGGAGATCTACCATAACTTCTGCCCCTCCTGGTGTTTGCAGTGTCTTCTCTCACATATTTAAAAACCTTTAACCTGCTTTTAGCTTTGAGGATATTTTAGAATGTGTAATGAAAGTGTAATTTTTATGTTGGAAGACTAACTTATCTTTCTTAAAAAAATTAAAATCTCAATCCCCAAAGTTTTCTCTTGGATCTCAGCACAAATGAAAATGCAAAAGGACTGTTTACCAAATCCGCACTCAATGTAACTTAACTGCTCAAAATCTAAAAATCAGACCTGAGTTCAAAGTTAAGCTTAAGGCACTACTATACCAATACTATACCACTAACTTGTGATACTGTGACTATCGCTTCTTTAGATACCGTCTTTTACGTAGGAATAAAAACAGAGGCGTAAAAACAGAACAAGGAATCAGAACCACAGCATCACTGTAAATTCTAGACTCAGCAGTTTAATAGAAGCATTGAACATCAAATGTCACAACGATTAGGAAACTATGCACTCCATTAAACAGCATCTGTGTTCTTGCCCAATTACTAAGTAAGATCTATTGTGCAAGTTGGCGCAACAATAATATAGAACGCTTATACCGAATCAGGTCCTAAGTGCTTTTACACACACTTACTCCGACAACTCTATGTGTTAGATACTATTATTGTGGCCATGTTAACAGAAATAACTTAAGGGACACACAGGTTAAGAACTTACCCAAGATCACACAGCTAGTTAAATGGATGATAGGATATAACTCTAGACAACCAAACTCAAAGGTCCATTAGACTTTACTGCCTCTGGACAAACTGATCATGCCAGACTAGTAGAACAAATCTCTCCTAAAACATATAAACTGATTTCTTTTGGGGGGGGGAACTACAACTCCCTCAAAGGCCTGGCTTCTCTCTCAATGGTTACCTTTTAACACTTTCCCAAGGCAACTGCAGGAGAAGGCCAACCTTTTATGACAGGTGAAGAAAATGACCAGCAGCAGCGTCTACGGTTTTTGATTTGGGAGCCTAGTGCTGGCCATAGTCACACGACGTTTCAACATAGGTTGACCGAACTCGCAGGATAAGTGACCCACAAATCAGACCCATGCAGGCTGCAATGAAACTGCGTAACCCGCACGGGCCAGCGGTCATTTCAAAACCCTCCGCAGATAGTTGTTTTGGCATTTGTTACTCGAAGACAGGACAAAATGGAACTTGCATAAACACTTACTCATCACCAAGTGCTGAAGTTACAAATCACCTAGTTCGCAAAATCAAATCGGCTGCCGAGTTCCTAATTCGAAGCGAAGAAAATAGGGCTACCACTGGGAGGCTGTAGGGTGCAAACACGTAGGGCCCAAGCGGAAGCGCCTCAGCGGGGAAAACACTAACCCACAGACAGGGGCTCCCCCCGGGGACTTTTCAGGGCCCTTCCTCCCCCACCCCGCCAACAAGCCTGGCCTTCCGTCTCCAGGCGGCCCGGCCCGACCCACCGTGGACGTCCGCAAGGCGAAACCCGAGAGGCCACGGAGGACGGAGGTGACAGGCCGGGTTCGGCGGCCCAGACCCAGGGGCCGGCCGGGGCGGCCAAGTCTCCGGGTCGCGGGCAGGTGGGGCCCGAGGCGCCGCCCCCGTTCCCCACTCTCCGGGGTCCGCACCTGCAGCGTGGTGATGTGCTTGTCGTTGAACTTGTTCTCGCAGTAGCGCAGCACCAGCGACGTCTTCCCCACGCAGCCTTCGCCCAGCAGCACCACCTTGAACGAGTAGGCTCGGCCCGCCGCCCCGCCGCCGCCGCCGCCGGCCGCAGCCATCCCGCCGCTCCCCGGCCGCCTGAGCCCGAGAACCGCGCCGAGCTCCCCACGGCCGCGGCCGGCTCAGGCCCTCCGCACCCGCTGCCCGCCCCTCTGCCCTCCCGCCCGGGCGCCGGCTCTGCTCCCTCCTCGGGCGAGGCCTGGAAGAGCCGAGAGAAAGTCCTAGAACGACGAGCGCCGCACAACACGTCAGACACCAGAGGAAAAGCGAAGAGCTCTCCTTCTCCGCCTCCCTCTAATGGCGTCTCCTTCCTCCTACGTCACACTCCGGGTCACGTGACCGCGGCGGCCCGGGCGGCCCTTGGACTGGGACTGGGCCCAGCCGGGTTGCGAGGCGTGGGCGGGGCTTCTGGCCTCCACCCGTGGAGGTAGGCCAGCCCCGCGCATCCCCGCACAGCTGGCCTGACTGCGGGTCTCCCCGAGCTGCCCTCGGGGGAGGGAGTCTGCGGGAATGAGGAGCCAGGCATTTGTGGAAACCCTGCTCTGCTGGAATGAAGTGGAGAACCCTCTCGTTCTTGTCCAGGAAATGTCCGTAAGGCTAGTGACCTCGCAAACCAGGTCTGCCAAGGTGCCCTTGAATCCCTTTCTCTGTGGCATTTCAAATCATGGCTGTTGAACTTTGAGTTCCCCCAGAAGCCAGCTCTCCTTGTTTTTCAGGTCTCAGCTTTAACCGGAAAGGCTTCCCCAACCACCCAGTCCTTCCCGCTATCTTTCCATCCATCCTACCCACCCACCCTCCAAGGTATTTCATGACGATGGTATATGCCTTCTTTATCAGCACTTGCTACACTCCTTGGAATTATTAAGTATTGTCTTTCTTGATTAGGCTGTAAGCTTAAGAGCAAGGACTATATAAGACTTGCCTCCCTTTGAATCTTTGAATTCCCAGCCCTAAGTGCCAGGCTATAAACATTTGGAAATGAATGAATGATACATCTTAAGCCATTATGCTCCGATTTCCCAGTGTTTCTGTCTTCCATGCTGACTCCACGTTGATGAAACGGTTTTGTTCTATGATTACTTACTTTTCTTTGTCTGTCTTCCTCGTTCATTCATGAAATACTTGCCCAAGAAACTCTAGTGGCATTTCTGATATTCTGCAACTAAAAAACTACTGTCAGTTAGACAAACATACTTTTTCATCAGACTCCTTTTACACTTCAACCAAATTGGCTTTTTCTTTTTTAAGGTAGTCCATTCATTCAACAAATATGTGAATATGCCCCCTATTTGCCCAGGCACTGTGCTGAACAAAATACAGTGTCTCTGTTCTTACCTTACATTTTTAGCAAGGGCAATGGATATGGTCAATTATACAATGAAATCTTTCACCTTGAAGCAGATCAGAAGGTTTGCAATCATGAATGAGAAGCCAACTGGTTTAGCATGCTAGAAAATCCGTCCTGGAGAAAGTTATCTTTGGATAGAAGTACCCTAGGAGAAATGGAGAGGATTGATGTTGGTCTAAATTGAGCAAATGAAAGTGTGACAAGAATGCAGACATGAAAAGAAGAGGAGACTAGCAAGGAAGCCCAGGGTTAATACAGAAGGGGCCTTCAATCAAATGATGGTGCAGAACATTATCAAAGGGGACTAACATACCCAGATTTGACCTGTAATTAGAAAATTGGATTGGAGAAGAACAAAGTAACTTATGTTTACCTAGAATTGATTATTAAAGTTTCTGGTTTATGAAATATCCTATGATTGTATCTGAGAATGTAATTGTCTACCTTTCCCCTCTGCATACCTTTGTCAGGGCCTTTAGACATTCATGAACACTTCCAGAGTTGGGAAAGGACTTCATTTTGAAGAGGACCCTCTCATTGTCCATTCCTCCTCCTTCCTTATAATGGATTGAAATCTGCCTCTCTCCACCTGCAATTAATTGTTCCTGATTCAATTATGTAGCATGTACCTAATCACTATTCTTTGTAAAACATCTTCATATATATGAAGAAAGCTATGTGATCTTTCTTTAAGCATTGCCTCTCTCACCAGTCTTTTCAACCACTGTTCAAATTACATGTATCCCAGATCATTTAATAGCAAGGGCCATTTTAAAACACAGATGGAGCACTTTCTTTATATTTATCACTGAATCAAAACAATTTAAACACTTTATTGTAAAATAAAATAATAGTCAAAGTTAAAATAATTGTTTAGGTTTAGCTTACATTGGAATTTAAAGAGTTTATTCAAATTTTCAAGGATTTCAATATATAAATTGGCATACTATTGAGCTCAGAGTGAGCAAATATAGATGTAAATTGTGATAAGCTGATAATGTCCCCAGATGTATCAGATCCTAGTCCCTGGCTCCTGTAAATGTTACCTTACTTGGGAAAAGAGTCTTTTTAGATATGATTTTGAGATGGGAGATTTCTGGGATTATTGGGGTGAGCCTAAATGCAGTCACAAATATCTTTATAAGAGAGAGACAGGAGATGCTACACATCAAGAAGAGAAAGCATGTGACAGAGGCACAGATTGGAATGATATTGTCAAAACCGATGACAGCCACCAGAAGCTAGAAAAGACAAGAAGCCCCTGGAGCCTTTATGGGGAATATAGCCCTGCCAACATACTGACTTTGGACTCCTGACTTCTAGAACTTGAAGAGAACAAATGTATGTTGTTTTAAGTTATCAAGTTTAGGATAACTCATTACAGCAGCTAAAAAGCATATTGGGAAAAAATAAGTAGCCTACATCAGTCCAAGCATTGAAAGAAATTCAAGTTGATTCTGAGATAGATTGTGTACTCTTAAAAACCTAAGTCAGTCTTGGAGTTGACTATTATTGGTCTGCATTAACTTGATAGGGAATGCCACAAAGAACTGGAACTCCACTTCTTCTATAATAAGAGTTCTGAGTAGATAATTTAAAATAGATTCCTGACTGGAGAGGGTTCAGGCAAGATCAGGAGAAAATTCATGCAGCTTCTTTGGATCAAAATGAACCTCTCCCCATAAGAAAGAGAGAGACATAAGAGAGGAAGAGAGGAGGGAAAAGGAAGAAAGAAAGAAAAAGAGAAAAAAGAAAAAAACCTTAAGATCAAATGGGAAAAACTGCCATTAAAAAGATAATGTACAGCTCCAAGAGTTTCTGTAAAGGGAAGAACTGTGGTTATAAGGTTGAGTTTACAAGCACTTTTAATATAATGGGTCCTGCTTTTTGAATAGCTCCTCCTTTCTCTCCCTGTACTTACACATTTTTGCATATTAATACCAACCTCATGGTTTCCAGTGTGACTGTTCAAGGACCTCAATTGCTGAATTTTGATGAGATACCTAGAGTTGAACAGTCAGATAATTATTTTTCATTTGGGAAGAAGGAGAATTGTCAGTGGCCTTCGTATATCTTTGGTTTATTCATTGTTCATTTATTCATTCACTACTGGAAAAATATTCAGATTTTATTATCTAGTCCCTGTACTATAAACATGACCCAATCAGACATGATCTCTAACATCATGGAGCTTTATGAGCTAATAGGACCCACAGATGATTGAGAATGTTATAACAAAGTATGGTAAATGATACCATACATAATATACTTGGAACTATGGAACCTCATAGGAATAGCAACTAACCTACCATTCCAGAAAGACATAAGTCAGATCAGTTAGATATACTTCTTTAGCCTCAATTTTCTTAACATTCTAGTAGATTTGACTCAGCATATGTTCCCCTGTTGGCTTTCAGGTAATCACAATCTTTTCTTCTTCATCTTTGACTGCTTCCTTTCTATCTCTTTTCTGACTTCCATCCATTCTCAACCTCTAAATATTGAGACTCGGGTCTTAAGTATCTCTATTAAAATTCTTGTTTGGGTGATCTCATCCAAGACCTATGGCTTAAAATATCCTCCATATATTAATAACTCCTAAAGTTAGGCTTTTTATTCCAAGTTCTTGCTCCTGAGTAGCAGATTATATAGGCAACTTCACACTAACATCTTTAATGTCTTGACTAGACATCTTAAACCTGTTATGTTTAAAATGTATCTCTCAGTGTTTTTCCAAAAGCTGTTCCTCCCCTGGCTTTTTTTTACCTTAGTAAATAGTTTTATTCTGAGTACATTCACTGAAGATAAAAGCTAGCCATCATCTTTTTTTTTCTCTTACTCCATATACTCCCAATCTGCTACCATGTCCAGTCACTTCTACTTCAAAAACAGATCTTGAATCCATCAGTTTTCCATTTCCTCCATCACTCTACTCCAAGTCACTGTCAACTTTTTCTTAGGCTACTCCCCACCTCCTACTACAACTTATTCTCTAAATAGCAGCCAGAGACATTTAAAACAAAACAAAGCAAAACTAAAATAAAACCTCACATTCCTTACCATGACCTGTAGAGTCCCCACATGAACAGGATGTTGTCTACTTTCCACCTTCATCTCAGGCCACCCTTTCCTTTTGTCACTGTGCTCTAGTCTTGTATGCCTCCACTCTGTTCCTTGTTGTTCCTAGTCTTTTCCCACCTCTGGGCTCTTAAGTGTGGTTCTTTCTATCTGGAATATTCTATATTCTTCAGATATTACCTTGACTATCACTTCCTTAGGGAGGCTACCCTCAACATACTTTCTAAGGTGACCTTGCTTTCTTCATACTCTTTATCGTGCTCCTAATATTTATTTGCTTTCATGTTCAAAGCCCTATCAGATACTTTGATATCTACTACATTATTGAGTCTTCAGGGCCTACCTCTGTGCCCAGCATATAATGATCACTCAAAAAAATTTTGGAAGGGTATTTTGATATTTTAATCTATGGCATTTCCTCCTACTATTTCTATGGATCAAGGAAAGTCCTGTGCATCAGGGGAAATTGTAACAGCAGAACACAGTAGAACAAAGGTGGTAGATTTTAGATTTTGACTTTCAGAACCTCAAGATACCTAAAGTTTTAAAAAGTTCTTAACACATAAATTTGATAGAATACATAAGCAATCAGACACACTGCTTGGTTAATAAGTATTAGGCAAGGAGAATTAGGGGGAAAGCAAAAGCTTTAGACATTGTTGAATATTCCTATAGCAGATACTTTTTCTTTCCCCTCCCTTCCTCCCACCCCCCAGTGCTGGGGTTCAAACCTGGGGTTTTGAACATAGTAGAAAAGAATTCTACCACTGAGCTGAGTCCTCAGCCCCTGTGACAGATTCAGCATATTGCTCAAACATTCCAACCTCTTCCACTTTACCTTCCTCTAGTATATAAATAAAACAAGAAATATTTGAATTCAT